AAAAAAAAAAAAACTAGCGGTCTGGACGCACTTACAAACCCCACTAAACAGGCGAATTCAGAACGAACCAAGACACCGGAAAACCGTCCACAAGAAATGCTAACAGCAGAAATACATCTTATCAATATGGAATACAGCCATCTTACGCTATGAATTACGCCAGCTGGCACTTTTCGACTGCTATAATCAAAATTGCTTTGAGTTAAAATGTGCTTGACAGCTCAACTTCTCGGCATCTGCTCAAGCACTCTTTAAAAAAAACGCTGCGAACAAGATAACTCCCAAAAACCAAGGAAAGCAGATATCTACGTAATCGTGTTCAAGCAAATCGTGATCATCAACATGAAACACAGAATTCAATAGACGGCAAATATTAAACTGAGCCACAAAAAATCTTCAAAACTCCACTAACTTATCCAAGAGATTCTCGACAATTGTTTCGAAATTTGCTGTTGCTGAACAAACTTCTTTTTCTTCCTCATTCAGGTCATTTCGAACGTGCACTGCTTCCGAGCAGTCCACAACTGGTACCAGCGTTACTAACAAATTTATTACCTACAATTAGCCAACGACATATTCGAAATTCTGCAGCATCTACTGCTGAAGAAAACCATCTGGCCATCGGAAATTCCAAAACATTAATTCTGAGAGCCGCTTTTCACAGAAGCACAACCAGTGAGAAGTCACAAGTCTTATGAAACAGGCATGAATTCAATGCTTTGTCGGAAAGTAGGGGAAACTCTCAACAAAACTGAAAGCAAGTTTGTCTCTCTGCGATCCACAATTTTTCTACATAGAAAGAAATACATTTAACGGAAACGGACAGCAAACTGGTTTCTCGGCGACCTGCATGTGTGTCCGCGAAGTATGCTATGCTCTTATTGGAAAAAACAATTAACCCTAATGCCTCAGAAATACTTTAGTCGAGTTATTTCTCAAAGTTATTCCGAAAGCTCCCAGTAGCTGCTTAAATGTTTGGATTTATCGAACGTCAACTTTCCACTGTTGCATATCGAAAACCTTCTATTTCGGCAATGTAAGCCAGTACAATCCCAAGTGGTCAAACGACTGAGTACTAAAATTAGTTTTCTTATTTCTTGACAAAATCAACAAGCCTCCACACACAATATTGCCTCCGCCTTAGATGTGAAAGTGGACTTGAAGGAATGTACACTTTTTCTTAACTTTTTCCTGGAACTGTTTGAGGGGATCCTTTTTATGCGTTTTTTGCAGCAATGCAATGCGAAAAACGCATATTGACGAGAGGTTGTCTGT